GAAGAACGGTTGCAGGAACTGGGTATGTCTAGTTTAATGAAGAGAAGGACTAGGGGAGACATGATAGCAGTCTTCCAATATCTCAGGGGCTGCCATAAAGAAGAGGGAGTCAAGCTATTCTCCAAAGCACCTGAGGGCAGGACAAGAAGCAACGGGTGGAAACTAATCAAGGAGAGAAGAAACTTAGAACTAAGGAGAAATTTCCTGACAGAGAGAACAATTAATCAGTGGAACAACTTGCCTCCAGAAGTCGTGAATGCTTCAACACTGGAAGTTTTTAAGAAGATGTTGGATAACCATTTGTCTGAAGTGGTGTAGGGTTTCCTGCCTGGGCAGGGGGTTGGACTAGAAGACCTCCAAGGTCCCTTCCAACTCGGTTATTCTACTTTTATCTCTTTAGTAACCATTGTGATGTCTCTCCAGATGGTAAAAGACCTGAGACCTGACAGCCAAGCCCTACCATTCTCAGCTTCAAACTCATAAAGCAATTCCCACCACCAGTCTCAGCCCGGCCCCCATAGATATGCCCCTTTCATGGTCTCCAATAAAACCTTTATGGTTCACATGGACCCAATAGCTGAGGCTACGAACATTAAATCTATGGGGCCCATTGGCCCACTAAATCTATGGCAGTTGGCCGTCTTGAGACTCAGAACATCTAATCAATGGCTCCTCAACATATCTCAGAGCGATCGTTCCTACAATTCTTTCGGTGACAGCTCTTTAATTCCAGCTCGATTTTCACCGAAGTCATTTCCTCGCCTGGTTCTAGCAACCTAGGAGTGATGAATGCTTGCAAACAGCAACAGGGAGTAAGAAAAACGAAGTGCACGGCCAACCATGGCCCAAAGGAACTTACTTCCCCAAGCGTTGAACTTTGATTTGAGAACGGTCTCTCACGGAGGGAGGGAGCCAGGAAGACGGGCGAGGGTCTCTCACAAAGAATTGTGGGTAGACACGGACCTCCTCCTCCTCTGTGTGTCTTTCCCGGCCAAGCAATATTTATGTTCCTGGTGATGGATGGCCCCAATGACTCAGCTGTTCACTTCTCCAGATTGATTGGAGAAATGTTCCCTTTCTCCAGTTTGGCAACTATTTAAAGCCAGGAGGTGCTGGGCAGTTATTCAAAGCCCAATAAAAATGGAGAGGTAGTTGTATGTGTGTGTGTGTGTGTGTGTGTGTGTGTGTGTGTTTTAATTTGTGTTGCTGGAAAAAAAAAATAAACTAAGCCACTTCTCACGTTTGATGAACAAGCGATTTCATCAATGCTGCAGCAGAAATGGACTTTAGGAGCTGAGCGTTCCCAAGAGTGATTTTGTTTACTCATTTCATGCCCTACGTTGGATTGAAGTTTAAGGAGGCCGTGCGTGTAAATAAGAAACTATCGTGTTTCCCCAAAAATAAGACTGGGTCTTATATTAATTTTTGCTCCAAAAAGACGCATTAGGGCTTATTTTCTGGTTAGGTCTTATTTTGGGGGGGAAATACAGTACTAAATGCATCCATCTGGCCAGGGGTGAAATGCTCCCGGTTCGGACCGGATCGCCTGATCCGGTAGTGATAGCGGAGGGTGGTTCAGAGAACCGGTAGCAAAAATCCCTGCGCCCCCCCCATGCTCAGCTGAGTCGCACGATCATCAGAGGCTTTTTTTTTTACTTTTAAAAGCATTTTTTCTACAACTTCTTCTAACGAAAAAATGCTTTGAAAAATTAAAAAAAAAAAGTTGGCCACGCCCACCCAGTCACATCACCCCCCCAAGCCACGCCCACAGAACCGGTAGTAACACATTTTACATTTCACCTCTGCATCTGGCTGACAATCTTAACTGGGGCTTATTTTGGGGGGCGAGGGTAGGGCTTATATTACAAGCATCCTGAAAAATCACGCTAGGACTTATTTTCCGGTTGGGTCTTATTTTCAGGGAAACAGAGTAAGTCTGTTTATAGTGTGGGTTTAAAAATAGAAAAGAGAGAGAGATCACAGGCGGTAATTGACATACAACCATTCATTTAGTGACCATTCGAAGTTACAACAGTACCGAAAAAAAGAGAATCATCCCTGTTTTTTTCACCCGTATGACCCGTCGCAGCACGTCTGTGGTCACGAAATCAAAATTCAAAGGCTTGGCAACGGATTCATATTTATGACGGGCACGGCGTCCCGGGATCACTTGATCCCCTCCTGACAAGCAAAGTCAATGGGGAAGCCGGATTCACTTAACAACCGTGTGACTAACTTAACAACGGTGGCAAGAAAGGTGGAAAACCCCCCGCTGAACAACTGTCCCCAATTAGCAACATAAATTTTTGGGCTCAGTTGTGGCTGTAAGTCGAGGACTACCTGTATACAAAACCCCCAACTTTGAAGAGAGAAGATTTATACGTTGGTGGGGAAGAATCGATGTTGTAGATCAAAGTTAAGAAGCCCTCACATTTCAGCAGCCAATGAAGTTTAATTCTCCGGCGTCGACTTCCCAGATACGTGCGTGCATTTTATGTATTTTCCCTCTGACTCTGAAGCAAGGGGAGCTGCCTGTCTTGATTTTTGGACCCTGTTTATTTATTTTATACATAAAACATTAATTCTATCCAAGAATGGAGCCTTCTAGTTCTGAAGAAGGTCCAAGAGTTCTGGAGAATGTTGGTCCTCTTGATTGTTCTTCTCAATTTCTTTTGTAGAAATCTCTTCATTTTAAGGCAATTCCCCGCTGTTCAAATACCGTTCTCAACTGCTCTTCAGATGGCCCAGGTCATCCATGGAAGAGTCTTAAAAAAATAAAGATGGCGGCCTTCTCCTTGAAGCTCCACCCCTTTCTAATGTACAGCGGCCCTATAAAACGATGGACTTTGATCACGTCAAGTTTTCACCACCTGTTTTCATCTCCTAAAACACCCAACTTTGGTTAACGTTTCTGTTAAGTTCAACACTCATAAAAATACAAGAACTATCTAAAGTTCACCATGACTCTTAGTAGGTCTCCAAAAATGCCAATCTGGAACAGCATCGTTAAGTTTAATCTGCAAAATATCGGCCTACGTTTCTGTGGTTTTTTTTTTCTTGATTGTAGTGTCATTTTATGATGTCATTATTTATTTTATTCTTTCCAGATTAGAACTGGCTGTTTGGAGGGCAATCTCCAGAGCAAACATTTACAAATATTCGTTTTTAAGCATATAATCTCGGGTTGTTGTTTTTTTTTGGTCGAGCTAGTGAGACTAACAATATACATTTAGAAAACGACTTTTTTGCAATTTAGTTTCCCAAAGCTTTCAGAAGCAATTATAAAATACCCATCTTACTGGCAATTTCTGCTTTCTTGATTATTACTATTTTTTTTTTTTTTTTTGACAATCTCGTCTCTTGACGTTGCCGGCATTAATAGGGTCCCAGCAGTTAAGCAACACTCCTTATGCAAATGAGATTTAATTAATTCTTTTCATCTGTTGCAAATATACCTCTGAACCCTATTAAGCTTATGAATATGCAAAATCTTACTTTCTCAAAGACCCAGACCGAGCTTGGCTGTTGGATTCTAGTTAGCAGGCTGTAAACCGAGATGCAAAATTTAGTTTCCATTTTAAGTTCCGTTAAAAAAAAAAGAGAGAGAGAAAAGAATCTATCAGATAATTAAGTAAATTATAGCGTTATACAGGAAGAGAAGACAAACAAAAAGGACAAAAAAAAAATCACTCATTAAGCTTAATACCAATACAGGAGCCAAAGGGTGCTGTTTGGGTCTGTCTGAAATTAGAAATTAAGCACGGTTTAATTTCCTGGACAGGAAGAAGGCATGTTTTCCTCCTTCCTCATAGCTAGGGTTTATTTGAGATTTGAACTTGGTTAAGCCAGTTAAGAGCAATCAATCATTTGACTCTTGAGTACCTGTGATCTGGAATGTTTGATTCTTTTGAACATGCTACCCTATCTCTCCGAAAATAAGACATCCCCTGAAAATAACCCCTCCCCAAAAATAACCCCTCCCCAAATATTTAAACGCATATGCAGCCAGTCCCCGCTGGTTTCCTCCACGCGCCCCAAAATAATAAGACCTCCCCAAAAATAAGGCCAAGCTCTTATTTCAGGGTTCAAAAAATTATAAGACAGGGTCTTATTTTCGGGAACACACGGAGAGTGAGAGAGAGAGAGAGAGAGGATGCACTTGTAACCCAAGACTTAAGACTTCCCAGAGTCATAGTCCTTCAGCAGAGAGTTGGTCTTCCAACTTGGCAAGTTTAAGACCTGTGGACTTCGGTTGCCAGGATTCCCCAGCCAGCCTGGGAGTTGAATTCCAGAAGTCTTCAATGATGGGAATTGAAGTCCCCAAGTCTTAAACTTGCCAAGTTGGGAGACTCTTGGACTAGAAGACCTCCAAGGGTCCCTTCTAACTCTGTTCTTCTGTATTGTCTGGTTGACCACAGCATTCTTGATTCACCAGTTAGCAGTTGTGATCAGAGGTGGGCGTCGCACAGGGGTGAAATCCAACATTTTTCCCTACCGGTTCTGTGGGCGTGGCTTGGTGGGCATGGCAGGGGAAGGATACTGCAAAATCTCCATTCCCTCCCCTCCTGGGGGAAGGATATTGCAAAATCTCCATTCCCACCCCACTCTGGGGCCAGCCAGAGGTGGTATTTGCCGGTTCTCCCAACTACTCAAAACTTCCGCTACTGGTTCTCCAGAACCTGTTAGAACCTCCTGGATTTCACCCCTGGCGTCACATACTGTAAAACTGGTTCGCCGAGAACTATAAATGTAAGTGTGCGCTGATCGGAACTACCGGTTCGCCTGAATTGGTCCAAACCGGCAGCATCCCACCACTGGTTGTGATCCAACGAGTGGGCCTCGCAGAATAACGGTATCTGGATGGAACGGTAGAAAACAGTCTTCCTTGTGCCTTCAATATCTGAACCAGCTCAGGGTTAACCTGAGGCATTACATTTGCCACTCTTCAGAATGCTAAAATATCTTATTTCAACCCCCTGTGACAGCGGGAACAGAACAGATTGACATAACTAGATGAGCGGGTTTATTAAATCCACAAAGGAAAGTTGGAGAGAAAGGAATAAAAATATTATCCTGGGACAGTTTTTCAGCCTGGCTCTCTCCATTGTATCTGACATTATGGGCAATTGATTTGATTTTCTCTCTCTCTCTCTTTCTCCTACCATCTTGTTATATATATATATATATTTTCAAATTGGAAAAAAAAACCCAATAACTTTAGGAAGAGAAAACTTGTTTTAAAATATTACGGTGTTAAGTAAGAATGTTAGAGACCCAAACACTGACTTTCTTCTACCATCAGATGCAAAGCGAGTACCGCCTTGATCTGGGCTAGTAATATTTATTAAACTAATTTATATAGCCAACCATCTCTAAAACAGTTTTAGACGGCTCTAAAAACAATCTAGAATAAGTTTCCAAGTCGTGCCGAAAAAAGCTGCCCTGAAGGCAAGAAGTTCATCATTTCATAATAATCCGTTGATTTATTTAAAGCTTTTTAGGGCACCTTGAACTTCAACCAACAGCAAGACATTTACATGCAGGGGAAAAAAACAGAATAATAAAACCAACCATGATTAATGAATTAAAAGAACCAAGCTGCAATTGAAACATTAGATTAGTTTCTGGAATCGGCCACATTCATCAGGAAAGCCAGAGGAGAACAACAAAATCAGATGGGGAGGATTTGGGTTGTTGACTATAGTCATTCCAGAAGTTTTACTATTCGTGTACAAGTGCTTGGTTGGCTTTGAAGGGTCTCGCCTAGAGTGACAATGGTTGTCCTTTGTGGCTTCATGGATCCTTTGACAGTGATCTGGTTTCTCCATCTGGATTCCTGTCATTTACTCATGGTCTTGTTTCATTTTTTTCAACGACTGAAGACACTCTAGCAATCCCAGAGAGCCATAATGCACTTGGGAGATCTCAAGATATGGTCAATGCTCTGCTAATGGGACAGGTTTCACCAGAGCATGGTCTACAACAGACAACTTCCTTAGTATACAGAGGAAAGAAGAGTTTAAAAAGATGTTTTTTTTCAAAAGTGTGATTTTTAAGCTACAACGTTGGTGATTTTAAAAGGGGCGTTGCAAACACTTGTCTATTGATAAATGATTGGGAGCCAGAAAGTCTGATCTGCTTTGGATCATCTAGAATTCTTCAGCAGGTTCTCATCTTCTTGTCCTCATCTTCAACACCTTGTTGCCCAGGTGTTGAAGCTCATGATCTTCCAACACCTGGGCAACACGGACAATTTCTGGGGAGCTTAGAAAGGAACAAGGAACAAACTCTAATCTTGCTTCTAAGAGTGTGCAATGCTCCACAGATATTCAGGTGACACTCAGGCCTGTTGAAACGTTGACCATCCGGTCATAAGGCCTGCAAAAAAGCCGAGCTCTTCAAGAGATCTTATGGATGATATTGAGCTGTAGAACATCTCTATTTGATTCACAACGAACAGGATTTGTATACAAATAGGTGTGTATGTGTGTGAGGGTCTGAAGAAGCCAGCAACCACTCTCGTCAATTTAATTGCACAGAATGTAGGAAGGGTGTGAAGAATAGTAAATTGCCTTCTCAAATCCCTGCAGGAAATGATTTTGTTTCTTGAACTGCGAGGAGCAATCTCCCTTATTATTTTGAAGGTGCAAGATATTGTGGCTAACGGTCATAAAGTTACCCTTTCCATAGCTCCTGTCTATATCAAGATTACTTCCTATCAGCTACCGGAAGACCAGACAAGGAGAAACGGGGTGGAGGAAGTTGGAGACTTCAAAGGAAAGCAAAGCAAGTGAAGCCAAGGGGCCAAGAGAGAGATGGATCCACCCTGGTTGCAACCCAACCAGAAGGAAAGGAAGGAAAAGAGAAGGAAAACAAAGACCAAGAAAAATTCAATTATTCCTTCAAGCAGAACTTTCAAAGAGAAGCTTAGAGGCCTGGAACAATAACAAGGGCAACTACATTAATGGACTCTACTTGGGCAGCAGAACATTTGAACTTCTTCTGTAATGGAGAAACTCAGAAGAGTTGGCTTTGATTTAGTTCTCTTTCCTTTAGCCAGACACCTCATTTCCCCCTTTATTTCAAGTCAGAATGTTGGTCCTCCAAAATCCCAGTAGGGTAAAGCTACTCATAATGCCTGCTTTGAGAGAAACTGTCAGAAATGACTTGGGGGGAAAACTCAGAAGTTATGTGTCCATCATGTCACGAAGGGCTTCTCGCTGTTATGATGGGGAGATGTGGTGACGAGAAAGTATTCTTTCTTGTCTTCTTTTATTGCTTTATTAAACAGAATTAAACAGCATTAAACAGAAGGCGGAGCAGATCAGATTGGTTTCTGCAGGTGAGGGGTAAACACCCCCTCCCCTTTTTAAAGGGCTGCTCAATTCTCTGGATTGCATTGCTGTCATCTGGGCGAATAGGCAGAAAATATCAGAACAATATAAAAAGAAGGGAGGAAAAACCCGGACAGGATAAGATGCGAAAGATCAGAGAAATATATGTATACATAATGCCTCCTTTTTGAACAGCTGCAGAGGGAGGGAGGGAAGAAGGGTTAGAAAGAAGGAAAGGAGGGATAAAAGGAAAGAAGGGATAGAAAGAAAGGGAGGAAGGGAGGAAGTGATAGAAGGAAGAGTTAGAAGGGAGGGAGCCAGGGAGGGAGGAAAGAAGGGAGGGAGGATTAGAAGGAAGGAAGGGATAGAAAGAAGAAAGAAAGGGAAGTGGTAGAAGGAAGGGAGGGAGGAAGGAAGGGAGGGAGTGTGTAAGGGAGGAAAAGACAGATGGAAGGAAGGAAGGAAGGAAGAGAGGGAGGAAAGGCGGTAGGGAGGAAGTGGTAGAAGAAAGGGTTAGAAGGGACAGAGAGAAGAAGGAAGGAAGGGTGGGAAGGACAGATAGAAGGAAGAGAGGAAGAAAGAAGGAAGGAAGAAAGGATGGAAGGGGAGAAGAAGGATTAGGTGGAAGGGAGAGAGGGAAGAACAGATAGAAGGAAAGGAGGGAGAGAAAGAAAGAAAGAGATAGAGGGAGGGAGAAAGTGGCAGAAGAAGGGTTAGGAGGGAGGGAGGAAGATTAGGTTACTTCTTCAGAAAATAGTAAAAACGCTGAAAGATCACTACAAGGCCCTGAAATATCCAGGTAGCAACTAAAAAGAGAAAAAAGGCCCAGTTCCTCTCAGCGGATTGGCGCCTCAGCGGAGGCCCTGCGAGCCATCTCCATCCGTGAGCCGCGAGCGGCTGATGCAAGGATGACCCCGCCCAGCTGAGACGGCTAAGCCACGGTCTGGCGACTGAAGAGTTCGAGGGTGACCGCGCTGAGGAAGGCGGGGATGCTGTCCTGTTGCAGAAGGTGAAGGTCTATCAGGTCATGGACCGTCTGCGAAAATTCGGTTTCCAGCAGCTGCATCTTTGCCCCAGAAGATCTGGAAGTCTACGCGGGGAAAAAACAAAACAAAGCAAAACAAAAAACAGAGAGAAGAAAGGAAAACCATTATTTACCCACTGAGGCCATTCCCCCCCCCCCCCAACCATATTTATGTTGTACCATGTTTGCTGTTGCTATCCGATTCCAATCAAGGTAATTTTATCTACTGCTGGGCAGGTGTTCAACACACAATTTAATTGGGCCATTATTAAGCTTCTGCATCTCCACAGTCTCCGAACAATAGTACCCCACGCACCAGCCTCAGATGAATAATGAATTACCCGGCGATGGAAGAATGCGGAAAATGTTTTGAAAATTAACTCGAAAGGAGCCGTCGAGCGAAGAGGGGCAGGAGAACAGAGCGCCGCAGAAAGCGATCGATCAAGAACGCCGATTCCCACGGGGGTGAAGCGATATACAAAAATCTCTTTCCCCTGGCCCAGAAAAAGATGGATTGTCTTAACCTATCAAGGGCCTTCTCCTCTTCCTCCTCCTTCTCCTCGCCATTCTTCTTCCTGGTTTTCTCTCATTTGGGAAGATCTGATAATCCAACTGGAAGGGTCTACGACAACTCGCCATGGCCAACTGTCCGCGGGACAAGAGCAGGGGTGCTATTCAGCAGGTTCTGACAGGTTCTGGAGAACCGGCAGCGGAAATTTTAAGTAGTTTGGAGAACTGGCAAATACCCACCTCTGGCTGGCCCCAGAGTGGGATGGGAATGGGGATTTTGCAGTATCCTTCCGCTGCCACACCCACCAAGCCACGCCCAGAGAACCGGTAGTAAAAAATTTTGAATTCCACTACTGGACAAGAGTTACACTAATATCAAAGAAACAGTGGAATAGAATCATTAAAGGAAGGATGCCAAAGGAGTTACAGTTATGTAATTATAGATCTCATATATTATAATATATAGGTTGTAATTATATAGTTTTATACCTATAATTATATAGTTGTGTAATTCAATTACGGCATCGAGTTATGCTTCATTTATAACTCAATAACTCAATCACCTTGAGTTATTTGTAAACAACAATAAAGGCAGGTTAGAAATGAAAAACAATAGGTAATAAATTAAAAAAAAAAATCTGCCTGGACGGTGGAAGGATGACCGAATGGATATTTGCCATAACTGGATTTAATTGTGAATTAATTGGAATGAAAGAAAATGCATCGAATACAGGTTTAATTAGTGGATATTTAAATTAAAACTTTTGGAAGGTTTGTGGGAGGGGGTACATATTTTGTTTGTAGACATCCTACACATCTTCCAAGCTTGGTACTTCTCAACCCATTGGCTAAAAATTCCGAACTGTCCAGAGTCAATGGTTGAGATGCGTAGCTATAGAAATTGAACGAACCAACTCAGAAATGAGAAATTTCCTGACAGTGAGAACAATTAATCAATGGAACAGTTTCCCTCCAGAGGTTGTGGAGGTTTGAAAGAAGAGACTGGACAACCAGTCTGGAATGATATAGGATCTGCTTGAGCAGGGGTTTTGGGCTAGAAGGCCTCCAAAGTCCTATCCAACTATGTTATTCTGTTGTTATTATTTTTAAAACTATTTTTATTGCACATTTTTCTTCGTGTTGCATCACAGTTTCAACTTTGCAACAGCAATATACTGGTTGTATCAGCAATTTTTTACAATATACATACTATTATACCTCCTAGGTGCAACCATTTAAGTCAGGGGTCTCCAAACTTGGCAACTTTAAGACTTGTGAACTTCAACTCCCAGAATTCCTCAGCCAGCAAAGCAAAGCTGGCTGAGGAATTCTGGGAGTTGAAGTCCACAAGTCTTAAAATTGCCAAGTTTGGAGACCCCTGATTTAAGTCTTATTCATACAATATCATGTTTATATCTATTGTTTCCACATTTCTAACGTAAGGCTCTATATATTTATCATTCTAAGCATTTTACTTTGCGCTTTTGTACCATTTTGCCCTAATATTGCTTACAGTAAATATTCTTCTATCTATCATTCTACTTTATACTTATTTCTGGTTCGTTGATCGCCTTTCATCATTAATTTTCTAATCTTTGCATCTATTATCTAACCAATTGTACCACACATCCCAAATTAAATAATATTCTGTTTCTCCTTTGTTATTCTGTTATTGTGGGTGCTCCATCCCTGGAGGATTTTAAAGGAGAGAGTGGACAACCATTTGTCTGAATGGTATAGGGCACTGATGGCTAACCTTTTTGCCATCGCGTGCCAGGAAAGGGAGGGGGCGGGGGAGGTTCATGTGCATGTGTGCCCACATCCATAATTCTATGTGTCCCGTCCCGCGCATGCGACCCCCCTCCTCCCCACTCCTGGCATGCAATGGCCCGATAGGCTCATTTTTCTTTCTCACATGGCTCCAGATCCTCTCTATGCATCTGGAGAGGGCGAAAACAGCCTTCCCCACTCCCTTGGAGGCCCTCTGGAGGCCTGAAATGGCCCGTTTCCCAACTTCCGGTTGGACAGGAAGTGACGTTTTTTGCTGTCCCCAGCCTCCAGAGACTCCCCACCCCCCCACCCTCTGGAGGCAGGAAACAGCCTGTTTCCCTACTTCTGGTGGGCCCAGAAGGCCCGAAAATCAGCTGGCCGGCACTCACATGCGCGCCGGAGCTAAGCTGGCGTGCCAGGCGACATGGCTCTGCGTGCCATCTGTGGCACGCGTGCCATAGGTTCACCATCACGAACCAATCTAGAAGACCTCCAAGGTCCCTTCCAACTCTGTTGAATGAATGAATGAATGAATGAATGAATGAATGAAAATGAATGAATAAAAACCAAACTTAAAGCTTTTAGATGCAATAGATTCTTTCCTGTTGATTTGCCTTCTCCTCCTCCAACGCAAAACCTATTTCTAATCCCGCCAGCACTTCTAGAGAGTGGTTTTTTTTCTAACACACCGGCAATAAATGCACAATTGGCTGCCTGCCCACCTCGCCTGCGACAAGGTGGACTTCCAGATTTTGCAGGGCCAACTCTTGGCATCCTTCGGAGAAGCCTTTAGCACAACTGCCTTCCTGCTTAAGACAAGATTCAGCCTCCTTGGGGAGAGGAGTGCCTCATCCATCTTCCTTTTAACACTAGAAACTGGTAAATTATTCAGGGCTTTAAATATAAAAGCCAACTGGGGAATTCTGGGAGTTGAAGTCCACATATCTTAAAGTGGCGGAGGCTGAGACACACGCCGCCCTATACGAAGGATGCAAACGCAAGGATGAGTTTTTGAACACGGCGGAGATGCGCTTGCAACTCAGCTCCGAGCCTGACCCTGTTTTAAGTAGTCATCTTCAGCCTGTTAGGTTCTTGCTTCTTGTACTGGCAAACGTTTCATGACCAGGCTAGGTAGCATCATCAGGACAAGGGGGTGTGCTGGTATATTTATAGAGTCATCTGCCCTGCCAGGTGTGGTGTGTCTTCCTTGCAAGTTCATTTGTTTTTCTTCGTGCTAATCTGGTTGCAACATCTTCTACATCGATTCTATGGGCCAAAGCAAGATGGAGTGGGATGAAACTGATGGGGCTAACTGAATTGGTCATCCTGAGCTTGGTTGCTGGTCACTCTGACCCCAAGTCAAGCATGTGAAACCATGTGGCACAACTGTAGTCAAAGGCAGGTTTTTTTTTTTTTTTTTAAAAATTGCCCTGGGTTTGAGGCTTCTTCCGCTTCTGCCTTAAATACCCCAAAGCTGTTTTAACGGCTCATGCGAGTTTTCATGCACTTTGCCACAAAAGATTCATCACGTCATCTGGGAAGGATCTTCTCCAAAAAGGTCATGCCCAGAAGTTGCTGGAGAATTTAATTTTTAATTTTTATTTTTTTTAATTTGATTTATATGCCGCCCTTCTCCGGAGACTCAGGGCGGCTTACAATGCGCTAAGCAATAGCCTTCATTCTTTTGTATATTTTATACAAAGTCAGCTTATTGCCCCCACAAACTGGGTCCTCATTTCACCTACCTTAGAAAGGATGGAAGGCTGAGTCAACCTTGAGCCTTGGAGAGATTCGAACCTGCAGTAATTGCAGGCAGCTGGTCTTAATAACCAGCTTAATAACAGGGTGCCTTAGACCACTGTACTACCAAGGCTCAATCCCAAAGTGACATGAAAAGACCTCGAAAAGGCAAAGCTCCTTTCCTTACCACCCTCACCCCACCCCACCCCTGGCGAGCCAAATAAGCATTGCCAGTTCCAATCAAAGCATCACTTAAGACGTTCGCAGTCCCAGGGGCAAATTCACAGGGTCAAATCATGTCTTGCTAATTTTTTTTCCCCACGCATCCGCTCTCTCTCTCTCTTTTTTTGGGGAAGGGCAACCTTTGAAAAATTTCCTTCCCTCTCATTCTCGCATGGCAAACAATTTGCTCGCCCCGCTGTCCAGCTCCGTTTCCGAGTTTGGTCTCTTCCTTTCTAAATCCCCCAGTTCAACCCAGCTCAGATCCTATTGCAGACCGCGGAGAAACCGATGTTAAAGCAATATTTTTCTTTCTCTTCGTTTTACATCCGCCCCCCCCCTCAAGCCTTGACCTTTTCGCTGGAAAATCCGTTGGGTTTTTGGTTTTTTTTCCCCCCCTTCTCCTCTCTTGCTTAAGATTCTGAGATTTTTCTAAATGTCAGCAAGCTCACTGTCCATGCACAACAGTCGTCTCTCGAAACACAAGACTGCTTCTGCAGACAAACCCCTGCTGGAATCTTGATGTAGAAAATGAAAGGCTGGGGAAAAGAAGGGAGGAAAGGGTGGGAGGTTTTTTGGGGGGTTTTTTGGAAAAAGGGAGGTGAACAGTTTTCCCTCTGGTTCTAAGAAGGACACGAGGGGGGTCCCTTCCTTAAACAACAGCCCCTTTCTCCTCTAAAATTGGGGGAGTTAGAAGGCAAAGAAGAGGAACAAGAAGATACTAAATACTGAGAGAGAGAGAGGGAGGGAGGGAGGGGGAGGGAGGGAGGGAGGGGGAGAGAGAGATCCAGATGTGGTCAAAATAATTCCAGCCGCAGAAAGGACAT